TTGCAACCCCGCTTTCCTGCATCCACATCTTGAACCACAACCACTTTTGCAGTTACAGAATATCGTATTGAGTAACTCATCTGGAGCAGGTGGTAAAATGGTCATGATAGGTTCTAGCAATCCGTTACGCATTGTCCAACCCCATTCCTGGGGTTCCATATCATGTCCTAACCAAGTTTGAACTTGGTAATGAACACGATTAAAATGTTGGTGAGCTGATTTGTATATCCCTTAATGAATTTTTGGAAATAGAGGAATAAATTGCATTATTGAATTCATAGATCGGTTCATTAATGAAAAAAATATTTAAATATAATGTATTTGTTAATAAAAAAATGAAAATTATTTGTAATTATTTATTAGGTAATAATTTATAAACCTTAAATGAGCTGATTTCGATGGGTACAAAAACGTGCAAAAATCGGTTTTTTTACTTGTGACCCCCAATTTTTGAAGTTGCGGCCGTCGAATCATATATGAATTTTGAGGTTACTTTTATGATGCCAAAATACAAAGTGTATACAAATTTACAGCTGGGTATGTCAACTTCCCGAAATACAGACCTAAATCGACCTAAAATGACTGGACAACCTGGCGCATTGCCACTACGCCGTCAATCGATTTAACTTTTTGTTCAACGACTTGAAATTTAGTATATTATTCGATCTAACATTTTATTAGAAGGTGCACAAAAAAATAAACATTGGAATTGTTACTAAAGATATATTTTGTTAATGTTATACACTACAAACATTTCAGCATTTATTTGAATTTCAGAAAGCTGATTGTGCCAGTATGAACAGTCTCTCCTGCAGTGAAATAGTAGGACCCTCAAATGTTTCGACCCTTCTTTCCAGCGCTGGCTCTTTATATTCTTCTTTAAGGAAAAGTATAAAAAGAAGGCGGCATAGTTTCAAAACAGTTTCTTTCGAAGACCACCAAATCAGCCTACCAAACCGCCTTCTCGAGAGTTTGGAAAAGGAATTGTCTATACAAAATTCCATAATATTCCAAATATCCAAAGCACTGAATTATTGCAGGTCATCCAAGGATTTTTTTTCAGGAAAAGAACATATAGAAGCTGAGAAAATTCTTTTGCTTGCAAGTAAGTAAGTGAAGTAGTTGAATGTGACAAAAAAGACCATAATGATGTAGATAATGTACTGAAAACTAAAAAATAATTCGGGAGGTCCTAGGAGGCAGTCATCACACCACTCTCCTAAGCAATCTACGGTATTGATCAGATGAGAAAATATAAGAATCGTTGGGCAAAGTATTTACATATTTACTCAGACTACGCTACACCCAACGATTTTATTATTTTTCATCTGATCAATACCGTAGATTACTGAAGAGAATGATGTGATAACTGCTACCTAGGACTTTCCGAATTATTTTTTAGTTTTTTGGGCATTATCTACATCATTATTTTCTTTTTTTCAATAAACCGTTTAACATAAAAAAATTGCATTCATTTCATTTTCAAGTTTTTATTTCTAAGTTTGTTACTCAATTCTTCTCGTTCTGTTTAGTTCATTTAGTGCCTCAATATTACAAGGTACCTAATAAGTAATCCGCATTTTGTAGCTGCAGCCATCTTGGATTTACAATGATACAGAATTTATTGAACTGTATTGTCATCAAAACTGAATTTGTGTACCGAATATCAGATCATTCTTCCATTAGGGAGGGGGTCAAACTTCAATTACTAAATTTGACCCACACAAATAAATAAACAAACAAACAGGGCAAGCTGAATGAAAGCGTTTAAAAATACTCACCTCTTTTATATAGTATGTGCACTTCTGTTTAAATTATCATAAAATGAGTATTCATAACAAATAAGCATTCCATAGACGAACATCAGTTATGAGGGAAATTCAATTAGTAATTTGTAAATGACCAACAACTGTAAAGTGGTATTTCGGTTAATATACTTGCTGAATGCCTCCAAAACAACTTTGTTGAGTTCAATATGATTAACAGCGTTTCAATTAAATGACAAGGTAATGAGTGATTTTTTGCTGGTATCTTTTTAGCAACACTGTTTTTGACAGATCACGCGTGAATCGTGTCTTGTGTCATTGTCAAACTTGTTCAGTTTGGTCTATAATTTAACCACGAATCGACTCACGAGTGAACAACGCTTGCAAATTATTGAATTTTATTATAAAAATTCATACTCGGTGAAGAAAGTGCATCGTGCACTTCTTCCAATTTATGGGCAGTTTCGTCGGACTACTGAGGGAGCTATTCGGAAGCTTGTGACTAAATTTCAAACCCAGTTTACATTATTGGACATTAAACCACCGACACGCATACGTAGAGTGAGGACCGAAGAAAATATTGCGGCTATATCCACCAGTGTTCGTAATGACCGTGAAAAGTCGATTCGGATTTGGGTGTTAAACCTTATAAGATACAGCTGGTGCAATAATTGAAGCCACACGACCTCCCACATCGTCTAACATTTGGTGAATGGGCGCTGGCAAAGTTGGAGGAAGATCCACATTTTCATCGAAAAATTGTGTTCAGCGATGAGGCTCATTTCTGGTTGAATGGATACGTTAACAAGCAAAACTGCCGCATTTGCACAAGCAAGCATTGCAAGAGCTATCGATGCATCCCGAAAAAGTCACTGTTTGGGGTGGATTATGGGTCGGTGGCATCATCGGGCCGTACTTCTTCGAAGACGACAATGGCCGGAACGTTACTGTGATTGGCAAGCGCTACCGTGTGATGATTGACGACTTTTGGTTGCCCATAATGGAAGAATTGGACATGCCTGACATGTGGTTTCAACAAGACGGTGTCACATGCCATACGGCCGGCACGCGAAACAATGTCCCAATTAAGAGCCGCCTTCGGTGAACAGTTCATCTCACGTTTGGGGCCCGTCAATTGGCCGCCTAGATCGTGTGATTTAACGCCTTTGGATTATTTTCCTTGACAATATNAAAACTTTCTTTCCCAAAAATTAATCACTCCTAAAAATACCTATAACCCCTTCAATTGAAACAAGAAATATATTCTGTTATACTCGCCAGGTTTGTTACGGTAGATCTTTTGGCCATGAATCCATGCTGATTTGGTGTTATTATCATTCTAATATCATTATATATTTGATCGTCAATAATACTTTCAAAAAGTTTTCCAAAATTGCATAATATAGCTGCTGATCTGTAGTTGAATACGAATGGAGTTAAAATGAATTACCCTGTACCGACAAAAAAAAAAATTAAATTTGAATTATTGCACTTAAAATTCAAAAGACAAACTACGGTTATACAAAAGTTGTACGAATGGTCCAATAGTAACAATACTGATGAAGAAAACAAATTTACTCACTGAACAGTTTATTGGGATGAGTGAATAGTATTTTTCGAAGTGCCTGCCATCGCACGTGATTCGTAGGCTCTTCAACCTTTTTCCTACTCAATAAAAGTCAGATCGATTTCAGACTATACTCAGAAAAGGGTAAAAAAAGTCTTCTAAATAATTATAGAGCTTAATTATAGGTGAAAGTGAAATTCATGAATATTTGCTTTAACATATTCATTTATTTATTTATGTACACAGGTAATCCCCATGAGGAAAAAGAAATAGACAAATACAGTATTATCTTAAAACTAACTTAACCTTAATGTATGTATAAATATACAGCGTGACTCACGGTCGATGGTAGGTTAGACGTTTCTGGAAAACGCAAAGCATGATTTTTCCGAAAATTTCACCTCTCACATTTCCTTACCTATTCTATCGATCTAAAATATTTTCAGCATTACGGCGTTGCCACTTCTATCAAAAAGTCCTAGCAATTATATTTTTTTAAATGGAACACCCCGTATATTAATACATTTTTGGAATCGCTCTAGTATTTCAATACTTTTTTGTTAATAATGTCCTATACCTATCTCTATCTGTTTTCGAGATAAAAAATAAATTGTGCTAAATATGGTCCAAAACATAGCCTTAATT